GGTGTTGACTTGCAGTGAAATGATTGCTACGTTAATGTAAGAGTGCAGTCGTCCTGTGTTTGTCCATTCTGATGCCTCTCTACATGTCGTTGCTTCCCTCTGAGTGCCTGTCCCTCAGGTGTTCTACTGTTCGTCCCCAAAACCCTCACTCTGTCAAGGCCACACCAAGTGCCACGGGCTCTGTGAAATCCTTCTGTGAGCACCCACACCTGAAGGAGGGCAGATGTAGTTCCAACTTGTCTGTACTTTCCTGCTTCATCTACGTGCTCCTTATACCTTCTACCTCACGCCTCCAAGGAGGGTCTGAGGACCTGCAGCATTGGCATTTCTGGGGAGCTTGTTAAAAACGGTTTGGATATGCAGAAACACAGGGCCCACCCCAGCCAGACCTGCTGAATCAGAATCTGCATTTAACGAGATCCTGGGTGACTGGTCTGCACATTACAGTTTGGTAAGTGCTGATCCACAAGGCTATATAAATGTCTTCAAGGTGAGAAATAGGTCTTTCAAGACCCACCCCCTAAAGTATCTAACACAGTCTTTTTGTGCATAGTACTTGCTCGATAAATATTTGTCCACTGATAAATATATACCATCCACCCACGCTCATGGTGGCTTTTTGTATACTACACTAGAGAAGAATTTAAGTAATGGTTTTTAGGCGGTAGTTACTACATACAGGCCTGAGCTTTAGGAATAATCATGTGCTTGCTCTCTATGCAGTCTGCTTTCTACATTCTAGATTTCACCTTTAAAAATGATGTCCCCAGTGCTTTCGTGGGGTGGGAGAAGATGAAAACAGTCCAGGCTGTCCTTGAACTACTGCCACATGCCTTGGGAGGCTGCAGCCTGTTTGTCCTCGTTTGGACATTGTCATTCACCCCACCCACTGTGGTGCTGGACATCGATCAGATGGGCCTGCTATCAGCATGCCCCCGGCCGACTCTGGTGATTGACCCCAGCTGGACTTTTGGTGGTCCTCCCCATGGAACTAGCTCCCGTGCACTCTGGGTTGTACTGGCTTATGCCATACTCATTCATACCTCCTGATCTTTGGAAGGCCCCTCGTCCACCAGTGTTGGAGGCCTAGGAGCTGTTCTTGGTGGTCGTCCATCTGCAGTCTGTTTTTTTTCTAGGTGGACTCTCTCAGCAACCCCCAGTCCCACCTGCAGGCTTTGAATACCTTCTGTTGCTGGTCACCCCACAGGCAGGCCACCAATCCCTGGGCACCATCCTCAGACAGCCAGCTACCCACCGGTCCCTCCACCTGGGTGGCCCCTTCACCTCTCACTTGGGGCCTGTGAGAACTTACACTCCACCACAAAGCACCTGCATTTGGGCTGTACAGGGCTGAGCGTGCAGTCTTAGGCGGTGGACACTTAATTACAACCTGTGTGTTATGACATTGGGAGGGAATTGTCTAGACTTTTGAAACCAGTTGTTGACAGAACAAGTTGCTTCATATTTTTGTTAGGAATGGTCTTTTCATTTTGTTGATGGTGCTAACTTGCCATGAATAATTGCTATATTAACATCACAGTTCAGTTGTCTTCATATCTAGGTGGAGATGTTAGGAAAATAATATTCCTCTGCTTCAGGGCTGAGGCATCAGACCTTGCTTCGTACCCAGCTCTTTTTTTTTTTTTTTGTCTTTTTGTCTTTTTGTCTTTTTGTCTTTTTCCGTGTCCGGCAACGGATCACAACCCTCAGTGTTGCCCCCGTACCAGACCGGGGACCGGCAACGGGATTGCAACCCTCGGTGTTGCTCCCGCGCCTCGCTCAGCCAGTGAGCAGGAACCGGTCTGTACGTGGGATCCGAACCCTCGGGCGG